AATCAGGTTGGTCAAGTTACCGAATGAGTTAAGCTCTGAAATTTTAACATAAAATCCGCCTTACTGGACTTAGACAAAACACAAAATTTTAGCCCTTAACTCCAAACACATTATTTTATAAAATTCGAACAAATTTACAGAAAAAACAAGCATAAATACACAACCTGACCTAATGAACAAATCATGACTTGAAATTTCTACACCAGCAGTTACAGAATGTGAATAACATCATATAAAATTTCAGCTATTAACATGAAACACACGATTTTTAAAAAAAAAAAAATCTGCAGATTTTGAATTTTTAACAATACTGAACCAAAATGAATCCAAATAAATCCCATCTTTTTACATACTAAAACACATCACAAAATAAGCCCAAGCACCAAAATTCAGAAATTTACCACTTCAGATCAATTTATCATAATTAGTTTACGGATCTACAGAATATATTAAATAATTTCTAATCCTAGCAAACAAAGTCCAAAACTTCTCAAACTTTTAAAAAACATCTAAATCAAACAGTGAGACAACATAATCAAATTTCATCAATTTTGGAGCAAAACTTAATTTATTATGCAATTAACACGTTTCTTCCCAGAAATCAATTTAATTAATTAAAATAGCTACAGTTAGGATAAAATTATGAAATTTTTACACGAACATTATATTCATCATAGGACATAACACATGAAATTTCATGGCAATCGAAGCAGCATAAAATTTTTAACGAATTAAATACTAAAACACCAATTTTACGAGTTCGACACTTCATAAATGACTCGATAAAACTCGAAATTGTCCGAGGCCTTCACCATAAGGCCAAGAACTCATTGTTCCAATTCCCACAGCGACTTAACACGTGTATAACATGATCTCGTTCGAGTTCGCATATGTACAAATCATATATATAACAGATCACATTAACGCATAAAACGAATTTAAACGAGAGAGGGATCATGCCTCGATACCGTTATCGGGAATACGTTTGAAAAATGGATCAGACAAGGGTTGACGGGCTCGGAAGCTAAAATAACTAACCTCGGGCGGCTCACGCTCGGTCTCGGTTCGTTCTCGAACAGATGAATGGGTCAGGTTTCTCGCGGCTAAGCGTGGCAGCGGCTAGGGGTTGCCGACAATTGGAACTCGGTGGTGGCTACGAGGGGGGAGGAGGGCTGAAGTTTTTCCCGCTGAGGTGGCCTGATCACGACGGAAAAGGGGTGGCGGGCGGATGGGCGTTCACAGATGTCATCGGCGATCAGGCTCGAGAGGCAGCAGCGGCCCAACACGGTGATGCTGTGATGTTCTCACGGCTGGGAGTGATGGCGCACGAGCAGCTGGGCGGAATCCCACTTGTGGTGTTTACAGCAGCGGCCGGAAAAACGAAGGTAGGCGATGGTAGCGACCTGGTTCGCATGGTTGCAGCGGGTCGGAGAAACCAGCGGCGGAATGCTCGTCTTGGCTGCTAGGTCACGACGAAGGATCGTTGGGCTCGCCCGAGGAGGCTGGTCGCGGTCAGGAGAGCTCGCTGTGAAAGATGCTCGCTGGGAAAAGCTTCACTGCATCACTGTTCGCGGAAAGGAGAGCAGGTTATGGCATTGCTGTGCGGGGGCGGGAATCTCCGGAGGAACTTGCAAGGTAGCAACATCGCGGGAGGAGGGCCGTCGGAGTTCGTCGGGGTTGCTGCGTTGGGCTCGCGGCGGAGGTGTTGCATGCGCGGCGACGGGAATTTTGCAAAAGGAGATGATGGCGATTAGTGATGGTTGCCTCGTTGATCGAGAGGGAGGATGAAAGTCTGATGTGAGACTGCGGGTCGATGAGAGAAAGAAACCGAGTGGGAGGGGAAGAGATTGTGACTGCGGGTGTGCGTGAGTCTCGACCGAGAGAGATAGAGATAGATACATATATATAGTCTAGGTTTTTTTTCTTTTCTCTCAAGATACACAGACAATCACACGATTCGGGTCGGCAAAGGGAAACCGGGTCTTCTTCAAATGGGCATGTTCAGCCGGGTTGGGCGCAGGTTCAAGAATTGGGCCGAATGCCTCGGTTCTCTCGGGGGCAACGATTCAAAATAAAAACAGTGTAACATATATTTATACACACTATAATATAAAATAATAATATTAATAAAAATATAAATACACACAATTTAATATAATAATAATAATAACACTTAGACAGTTAGGCATTTAATTACAATTTGACAATTAAATAATATTGAGACATTCAATAATAATAATAATAATAATAATAATAATAATAATAATAATAATAATAATAACAATAATAATAATAATAATAATAATAATAATAATAACAATAATGATAAATAAATCCTAAATAATACATAATTAAATGGGGCATTACAAAATCGTCCTAAGAAAATTCTTGGTTTTGTCTCAAGAAACATATATTAAAAGAATCTTAGAACGTTTTCGAATGCATTATTCCAAACTCGTTGATACCCCAGTCGAAAAGGGTTTAACCTTAAGTCTTGACCAATGTCCGAAAACAGATGAAGAAAAACATAAAATGAGCAATGTTCCATATGCTAGTGCAGTAGGAAGCTTGATGTATGCTATGTTATGTACACGGCCAGACATCTGCTTCGCGGTTGGCTTGGTAAGTCGTTACCAAAGCAACCCTGGGCCGGCACATTGGCAAGCTGTCAAGAGAATCTTGCGGTACCTGCGTGGTACATGTGATTTGGTACTTTGCTATCAAGATGAGTCCTTGAAATTAAAAGGATACTCGGATGCTGATTGGGGTTGCGACTTGGATGAGTCAAAGTCAACTTCAGGATATGCCTTTATATTTGGTGGAGGTGCAATATCCTGTTGCAGTAAAAAGCAAGATTGCATTTCCCTTTCGACTATGGAAGCTGAATATGTTTCCAGTTGCATTGCCGTTCAAGAGACAATATGGTTGAGAAATTTTCTACAGGATCTCAACGTCACCCCAAAGGTTGATAAACCTGTAGAAATGAATTGCGATAATACTGCTGCTATCATTTTGTACGAGACGCAATAAAGAATAAAGAAGTTGTATTAAGTATATACCCACAAATAAAATGATAGCTGATCCTTTAACTAAACCTATACGCAGAGATGCTTTCCAAACTCATGTGAAGAGTCTTGGTTTGCGTAGGTTATAATTTTATTTTTGTGGGATAACGGATGTGTATAATGTTACACCGAACATATATGAAATTTGTTGTTCTTTGATATGTTCTTTAGCATATGTTGCATAAGTAGGCATGAGTAAAGATGTCACCAGGCTTTTGATTACGCTTATCACACAGGTAATCGCTTTATCACATTAGTTGTGAGTAATAGGATGAGACTATGCCATATTCATATTACGTGTATGTAGTATGGAATGTAATTGTACTTTTGTTGTATAAATATATATTTTCTTTTCAGTCGCCTTAGTAAGTCGAAGATAAGTCTCTAACGAGTCAAATATGAAATAATCCTGATTTCATATCAAAGCCTTGAAGCCGCATCTCGAGTGGTAGATAAATTATTAAGTAGTCTTGAGTAGTATCTAGACTACAGATTCGTATAACATAGTAGAGTGACATGCCCATCATAGTGGGAGCTATGTTATGACACGTATATCATATTGCATGTGCTTTTGAACGACCGTTAAGGATTGACAAATGATTCCCTACTTTGTCAAGGTGTGAATCCTATGGATTTTGTTGTCCAACTTTGTACGAAGCCTTTTGACATAGAACTATGCTATAATCGATACAGTTCGATGGAGCATGTTAGGAAAGCAACTAAGTTGAGATGAAGTTTCATTAGTGTCTAAGAAATAACTGATTCAACTTCACCACATTAGCCCGGGCGGTTATATTTGAAAATAACCATGTTGTGTATAGCATATAGCGACTGTGTTTGCTATCGGTGATTTTTGAACAGTTAGAGGTTGTCATAAGTATGAAAGTGTTATGTTAGTTAGATGGTGACTTAATATAACGTTGTTGTTGTTGCATTTGGTCGCACACTATATTACCCGTATGAGGCAAGAGATTTGTTGATAAAGATTTATGTTGATGATATTGTCTCGGCTTAAGTGGTTGAGTGGGAGTATTGTTTGTAATTGATGTTACATGCATCAATTAACTTGTAACATCCACTTAATAGTGGAGTTGTTACTCACCTCCGTTATGTATGGAGTTATGAAGTTGACATTAAATAAAGGCTTCATTAAGTGAATAGTTGTATTAAAACAACTATAAATAAGGTTCTTGTGTGCATCTTGAAAAGTGAACAATACAAGAAGAAAAATATGTTAGAGAAAACAAATAATCTTTATAGTGCTTTTCTCTTGTTGAGCCGAAACCATCAAGGCGGCTCGGGTTTTAGAGCGTGGAGGATACTGATTACTCTAGTAGCCGTTGGATAAAAGATACGGGCACGTTTTCGCTTCCGCTACATAAACTTTAGTCCTATTTATATTTATATATGTGTTATATAAAATCACTAACAGTCTCAATCCGCTATGAAGTGTTCAACAAAAGAAGCCACGAATATACCGCAATCACTGCTGAAATAAAATTAAGTGTTGAGCATCATATAATAAAACCATGAACAAAGAACATGACAAATATATTGATTATATAAGAGAATATATACAAACAAACAGACATGTTATAAGCTTGTGTGTAGTGTTCTATAAGCTTGTGTGCAATGTTCTATAAGATTATCTAAAAAAAAGTTAGCTCTCAGACTGACACAATGCATAAGTGGTTGTATTAGTGAGACACAAACTGCCTTTTTACCTGATAAATAGCAGTAATAATGTAGTCTTATCCCAGGAAGGTATCCACTTTTTTAGCAGACACAGGTCAGGTAAACATTGCTATATGGCAATCAAACTTAGAGTGGAATAGCAATGTGTGAGTCTTACAATGATTAAGATGGGTTTTGACAGGAGGTATGTGCAGTGGGTGATAGAATGTGCCACATCTGTTTTTTTCTCTTTTTCTCTGAATGGTCATGTTTGTGGGAATATTTCTGCTTCTAGGTTGAGACACCCCTGTCTTCATATTTCTGCCAAGGGCAGATTTAGAGGCATACCTGTGGCAAGAGGGGCTCATATTCTTACTCATTTATCGTTTGCTGACGATTGTATGGTGTTTTGTAAGGTAGATGTCTACCAGGCCCAAGGTTTAGCTTCTATCCTTGCCAAGTACCAGGAGTTTTCAGGCCAGAGAGTTAATCTAGCCAAATCATCCATATTTTTTAGCAGGAACACTCCAGTTGAAGTACAATTAGCCATCTACAAGGTCCTGGTGGGGATTAGACCTGAAAGGTCCACAAGATACCTAGGCCTTCCCTTATTTATTGGACAATCAAAGAGGGAGATTATTGGCTTTGTGACTGAAGCAGTCAGGAAGAGAGTAATTAGCTGGAAAAATAAGTTTTAGTCCATAATAGACAAGGTAGTATTAATCAATTCAGTCCTAAATGCTATGCCCATTTTTGTTATGAGTTGCTTTAAATTACCAGGAGGAATCTGTAAGAAGTGGCCAGCATCTTTGCTAATTTCTGGTGGCACAAGGGCAGGGAAAATGATGCTGGTATACACTGGAGAAGATGGTCTTTGCTGACTATTGCCAAATAGAATGGAGGCTTGGGTTTTAAGGACATCAGGTTGTTCAATGAGGCACTCTTGGTCAAACAACTACGGAGAGTGGTTAGAAATCCTGATCTGATGAGTAGAATCATAAAGAGTAGATACTTTCCAAAATGCTCTTTGTTTGATTCTGAGCTCAAATAGAATTCTTCTTGGTTATGGAGACCATGGTGGAGAGTGAAAGGGTTGTTATAAACAGGGCTGCAAGTAGAGGTGAAAAATGGGAAATCACTAAGAGTGCAGGATCATAACTGGGTTCCATGGTTGACTATAAAAATTCAAAGAGCAGGACATATTGGTTTCTGATCTCATGGGAGCTACTGGGAGACAATAGGATGAACAGAAGGTGTCAGAGCTATTTGAAAGTGAGGATGGTGAAATTTTTACACGAACATTATATTCATCATAGGACATAACACATGAAATTTCATGGCAATCGAAGCAGCATAAATTTTTAACGAATTAAATACTAAAACAACAATATTACGAGTTCGACACTTCATAAATGACTCGATAAAACTCGAAATTGTTCGAGGCCTTCACCATAAGGCCAAGAACTCATTGTTCCAATTCCCACAGCGACTTAACACGTGTATAACATGATCTCTTTCGAGTTCGCATATGTACAAATCATATATATAACAGATCACATTAACGCATAAAACGAATTTAAACGAGAGAGGGATCATGCCTCGATACCGTTATCGGGAATACGTTTGAAAAATGGATCAGACAAGGGTTGACGGGCTCGGAAGCTAAAATAATGAACCTCGGGCGGCTCACGCTCGGCCTCGGTTCGTTCTCGAACAGATGAATGGGTCGGGTTTCTCGCGGCTAAGCGTGGCAGCGGCTAGGGGTTGCCGACAATTGGAACTCGGTAGTGGCTACGAGGGGGGAGGAGGGCTGAAGTTTTTCCCGCTGAGGTGGCCTGCTCACGACGGAAAAGGGGTGGCGGGCGGATGGGCGTTCACAGATGTCGTCGGCGATCAGGCTCGAGAGGCAGCAGCGGCCCAACACGGTGATGCTGTGATGTTCTCACGGCTGGGAGTGATGGCGCGCGAGCAGCTGGGCGGAATCCCACTTGCGGTGTTTACAGCGGCGGCCGAAAAAACGAAGGTAGGCGATGGTGGCGACCTGGTTCGCATGGTTGCAGCGAGTCGGAGAAACCAGCGGCGGAATGCTCGTCTTGGCTGCTAGGTCACGGCGAAGGATCGTTGGGCTCGCCGGAGGAGGCTGGTCGCGGTCAGGAGAGCTCGCTGTGAAAGATGCTCGCTGGGAAAAGCTTCACTGCATCACTGTTCGCGGAAAGAAGAGCAGGTTGTGGCATTGCTGTGCGGGGTTCGGGAATCTCCGGAGGAACTTGCGAGGGAGCAACATCACGGGAGGAGGGCCGTCGGAGTTCGTCGGGGTTGCTGCGTTGGGCTCGCGGCGGAGGTGTTGCATGCGCGGCGACGGGAATTTTGCAAAAGGAGATGATGGCGATTAGTGATGGTTGCCTCGTTGATCGAGAGGGAGGATGAAAGTCTGATGTGAGACTGCGGGTCGATGAGAGAAAGAAACCGATTGAGAGGGGAAGAGATTGTGACTGCGGGTGTGCGTGAGTCTCGACCGAGAGAGATAGAGATAGATACATATATATAGTCTAGGTTTCTTTTCTTTTCTCTCAAGATACACAGACAATCACACGATTCGGGTCGGCAAAGGGAAATCGGGTCTTCTTCAAATGGGCATGTTCAGCCGGGTTGGGCGCAGGTTCAAGAATTGGGCCGAATGCCTCGGTTCTCTCGGGGGCAACGATTCAAAATAAAAACCGAGTAACATATATTTATACACACTTTAATATAAAATAATAATATTAATAAAAATACAAATACACACAATTTAATATAATAATAATAATAATAATAACACTTAGACAGTTAGGCATTTAATTACAATTTGACAATTAAATAATATTGAGACATTCAATAATAATAATAATAATAATAACAATAATAATAATAATAATAATAATAATAATAATAATAATAATAATAATAACAATAATGATAAATAAATCCTAAATAATACATAATTAAACGGGGCATTACAAAATCGTCCTAAGAAAATTCTTGGTTTTGTCTCAAGAAACATATATTAAAAGAATCTTAGAACGTTTTCGAATGCATTATTCCAAACTTGTTGATACCCCAGTCGAAAAGGGTTTAACCTTAAGTTTTGACCAATGTCCGAAAACAGATGAAGAAAAACATAAAATGAGCAATGTTCCATATGCTAGTGCAGTAGGAAGCTTGATGTATGCTATGTTATGTACACGGCCAGACATCTGCTTCGAAGTTGGCTTGGTAAGTCGTTACCAAAGCAACCCTGGGCCGGCACATTGGCAAGCTGTCAAGAGAATCTTGCAGTACCTGCGTGGTACAAGTGACTTGGTACTTTGCTATCAAGATGGGTCCTTGAAATTAAAAGGATACTCGGATGCTGATTGGGGTTGCGACTTGGATGAGTCAAAGTCAACTTCAGGATATGCCTTTATATTTGGTGGAGGTGCAATATCCTGGTGCAGTAAAAAGCAAGATTGCATTTCCCTTTCGACTATGGTGGAGCTGAATATGTTTCCAGTTGCATTGCCGTTCAAGAGACAATATGGTTGAGAAATTTTCTACAGGATCTCAACCTCACCCCAAAGGTTGATGAGCCTGTAGAAATGAATTGCGATAATACTGCTGCTATCCAGTATGCCCAGGATCCAAAGTTTCACAGAAAAACCAAGCATATCAAAAGGCATTATCATTTTGTACGAGACGCAATAAAAAATAAAGAAGTTGTCATTAAGTATATACCCACAAATAAAATGATAGCTGATCCTTTAACTAAACCTATACGCAGAGATGCTTTCTAAACTCATGTGAAGAGTCTTGGTTTGCGTAGGTTATAATTTTATTTTTGTAGGATAACGGATGTGTATAATGTTACACCGAACATATATGAAATTTGTTGTTCTTTGATATATTCTTTAGCATATGTTGCATAAGTAGGCATGAGTAAAGATGTCACCAGGCTTTTGATTACGCTTATCACACAGGTAATCGCTTTATCACATTAGTTGTGAGTAATAGGAAGAGACTATGCCATATTCATATTACGTGTATGTAGTATGGAATGTAATTGTACTTTTGTTGTATAAATATATATTTTCTTTTAAGTCGCCTTAGTAAGTCGAAGATAAGACTCTAACGAGTCAAATATGAAATAATCCTGATTTCATATCAAAGCCTTGAAGCCGCATCTCGAGTGGTAGATAAATTATTAAGTAGTCTTGAGTAGTATCTAGACTACAGATTCGTATAACATAGTAGAGTGACATGCCCATCATAGTGGGAGCTATGTTATGACACGTATATCATATTGCATGTGCTTTTGAACGACCGTTAAGGATTGACAAATGATTCCCTACTTTGTCAAGGTGTGAATCCTATGGATTTTGTTGTCCAACTTTGTACGAAGTCTTTTGACTTAGAACTATGCTATAATCGATACAGTTCGATGGAGCATGTTAGGAAAGCAACTAAGTTGAGATGAAGTTTCATTAGTGTCTAAGAAATAACTGATTCAACTTCACCACATTAGCCCGGGCGGTTATATTTGAAAATAACCATGTTGTGTATATAGCATATAGCGACTGTGTATGCTATCGGTGATTTTTGAACAGTTAGAGGTTGTCATAAGTATGAAAGTGTTATGTTAGTTAGATGGTGACTTAATATAACGTTGTTATTGTTGCATTTGGTCGCACACTATATTACCCGTATGAGGCAAGAGATTTGTTGATAAAGATTTATGTTGATGATATTGTCTCGGCTTAAGTGGTTGAGTGGGAGTATTGTTTGTAATTGATGTTACATGCATCAATTAACTTGTAACATCCACTTAATAGTGGAGTTGTTACTCACCTCCGTTATGTATGGAGTTATGAAGTTGAGATTAAATAAAGGCTTCATTAAGTGAATAGTTGTATTAAAACAACTATAAATAAGGTGCTTGTGTGCATCTTGAAAAGTGAACAATACAAGAAGAAAAATATGTTAGAGAAAACAAATAATCTTTATAGTGCTTTTCTCTTGTTGAGCCGAAACCATCAAGGCGGCTCGGGTTTTAGAGTGTGGAGGATACTGATGACTCTAGTAGCCGTTGGATAAAAGATACGGGCACGTTTTCGCTTCCACTACATAAACGTTAGTCCTATTTATATTTATATATGTGTTATATAAAATCACTAACAGTCTCAATCCGCTATGAAGTGTTCAACAAAAGAAGCCACGAATATACCGCAATCACTGCTGAAATAAAATTAAGTGTTGAGCATCATATAATAAAACCATGAACAAAGAACATGACAAATATATTGATTATATAAGAGAATATATACAAACAAACAGACATGTTATAAGCTTGTGTGTAGTGTTCTATAAGCTTGTGTGCAATGTTCTATAAGATTATCTAAAAAAACTTTAGCTCTCAGACTGACATAATGCATAAGTGGTTGTATTAGTGAGACACAAACTGCCTTTTTACCTGATAAATAGCAGTAATAATGTAGTCTTATCCCAGGAAGGTATCCACTTTTTTAGCAGACACAGGTCAGGTAAACATTGCTATATGGTAATCAAACTTAGAGTGGAATGGCAATGTGTGAGTCTTACAATGATTAAGATGGGTTTTGACAGGAGGTTTGTGCAGTGGGTGATAGAATGTGCCACATCTGTTTCTTTCTCTTTTTCTCTGAATGGTCATGTTTGTGGGAATATTTCTGCTTTTAGGTTGAGACACCCTTGTCTTCATATTTCTGCCAAGGGCAGATTTAGAGGCATACCTGTGGCAAGAGGGGCTCCTATTCTTACTCATTTATCGTTTTCTGACGATTGTATGGTGTTTTGTAAGGCAGATGTCTACCAGGCCCAAGGTTTAGCTTCTATCCTTGCCAAGTACCAGGAGTTTTCAGGCCAGAGAGTTAATCTAGCCAAATCATCCGTATTTTTTAGCAGGAACACTCCAGTTGAAGTACAATTAGCCATCTACAGGGTCCTGGTAAGGATTAGACCTGAAAGATCCCCAAGATACCTAGGCCTTCCCTTAGTTATTGGACAATCAAAGAGGGAGATTATTGGCTTTGTGACTGAAGCAGTCAGGAAGAGAGTAATTAGCTGGAAAAATAAGTTTTAGTCCATAATAGACAAGGTAGTATTAATCAATTCAGTCCTAAATGCTATGCCCATTTTTGTTATGAGTTGCTTTAAATTACCAGAAGGAATCTGTAAGAAGTGGCCAGCATCTTTGCTAATTTCTGGTGGCACAAGGGCGGGGAAAATGATGCTGGTATACACTGGAGAAGATGGCCTTTGCTGACTATTGCCAAATAGAATGGAGGCTTGGGTTTTAAGGACATCAGGTTGTTCAATGAGGCACTCTTGGTCAAACAACTATGGAGAGTGGTTAGAAATCCTGATCTGATGAGTAGAATCATAAAGAGTAGATACTTTCCAAAATGCTCTTTGTTTGATTCTGAGCTCAAATAGAATTCTTCTTGGTTATGGAGACCATGGTGGAGAGTGAAAGGGTTGTTATAAACAGGGCTGCAAGTAGAGGTGAAAAATGGGAAATCACTAAGAGTGCAGGATCATAACTGGGTTCCATGGTTGACTATAAGGGTTCAATTCAAAGAGCAGGATATATTGGTTTCTGATCTCATGGGAGCTACTGGGAGACAATAGGATGAACAGAAGGTGTCTGAGCTATTTGAAAGTGAGGATGGTGAAACTATTTTACAGATTCAAACTCTAAACTCGTATCTTGAGGACAAGTGGAGCTGGAGTTCCAATAAAAATGGCAAATTTTCAGTTGCATCCTCATACAGATTCTTGAGTAAGCAAAAGCTGTTGGCACTTGATCTTGTAGAAGGTAGCACAACAACAGACAGAAACAAGATGGTGAGGATGAGGAGCTGGAAACTTCGAGTAAAAGGTAAATCAAGCATTTTATTTGACAATGTTTTTCAGGCCTGTTACCTGTTAATGTGAATGTAAGGAAGAATGGCATACTTGTTGATGTGGTGTGCAAAGGTTGTGGAATGGAGGAAGAAACTCTAGAACATGTATTTGTGAGATGTGAAAGCGCAAAGAGGGTGTGGACACATGATCCTTTGTGTTGGGATGGTATGCAAGGTGATTCATACAAGTTTGCAGACTGGTGGGGGAGGATATGCAGTGTCGATGGAAATGAGGTTGCTGAAGCCAGAATAGAATTAACTACTTACATTCTATGGTGGCTTTGGAAATCAAGGAATCTCTGGTTGTTTGAGAATGTGTGGAGATCAGAAATTGGTATTGTAATGGCTGCAATGGGAGAATGGCAAGAGGCATACATGATAGAAGCAACTGCTGGTAGAAGGAGGCATGAAGACCAAGCTAGGTCTACTCTATGAGTAGTACAGTGGATTGGTATTTGTGTTCGTGTTGTTAGCTTTTTTTTTTGTGTTTTTCTATATAACTGGAGGGATCAGTTTGTAACTGCCTCTAGTTATAGTTTGTTTTTTATTTCTGTTTTGCCTAGGTTACTAAATTTGGTTTGTGTAGCTTTTATGGTTTAAGCCATCGACTTATTTGGGAGTTTGTACTCGTTATATTCGGACATTGTACCACTTATTTTCTTGTTTTTATTGAAGAATTTGTCTATCGTTTGGATAAAAAAAAATAAAAAAGAAAAAAAAAGAAAGAAAGAAAGAATAGCCCATTAACACTACGAATTAATGACCATCGGATTCTTTTATTTTAGGCCAAAGTATACATAGACGTGTACATTTTCTATGTTTGACACATTGAGAAATAAAAGTTTGGAATTCCACAACTGACTTATTTGATCTTCAATTTCACATTTATGGAATACCCCACAATAGATAGTGACCACCGTGATGTTTACTTATTTTATTAATCAATTGTGATTTTTAGAGCATCTTCAGAGCAACTCCAATGCTCAAATGTTGTTGTGGTAAATTACATGACACCTAAAAATATTTAGTAAATCACAACTTTTCATCCTCCAATGCATAATGTAATCACAAATGTTGTGGTGATGTGGACATAATTAATGTCCACGATGTAGAGAAGAATGTGGTTCATCCACATTCTCCTCCACACTCTAGTTGGCCAATGAAGAGAAGAGAGATAATTATGCTTACCATCTTCAAATTATTTAATTATTTAATTATTTGTTCTACTTTTTATTAAAATTTTAATATTCGGTAAGTAGATAATATTGTAAATATACTATATTGTGCATTGGAGATGATTTTTTTAATTTCATAGTTGTGAACTTAACATTTTTCCCACATGGTTCACACTCTATTTAATTGATTGACATTTGTCATAATTTGTTCAATAACAACATTAGAGCATTGGAGATGCTCTCAATGGTGGAATGTAGCTGTAGTAAATTACACTTTATATTAACAAATTTAATCATGTCTCCACTTTTAATCCTATAATACACAATATAATCACAAATGTAGTGATAAGGTAGACATAATTAATGTTCACAATATGTAGAGATGAATGTTGTTCATCGGCATTCTCTTTCACATTCCAATCAACCAATTGAGAGATGGGAGAGAAATATTATTACCATTTTCAAAATATATAAATTATTTAATTTTTTTGTTTCTTATTTATAATTTTATTAATTTTGCTAAGTGGAAAATATTATATTTGATCATATTGTGCATTGTAGATAATTTTTTAGATTTAAAGTTGTGAACTTAACAAATATCTTATGTGGTTCCAGTCCATCTAAATAATTAACATTTGTCAAAATTTATGTGATAACAATATTTATGCATTGGAGATGCTCTTATGCTTCCAAAATTAATTGAAACCGTAGAAATCACTCTCTCTATTAATTAATGCGTGATATTTGGTGTGTCCAAAATTAATTGAAACCATAGAAGAAAAAGTTCGTGTTTAATTTGAATATTTGGTTAATCTTATGTTTATTATCTAATTTTTTACTTAATCATAAAAAATTAAATAGACAAAAAAAAAGACAAATACAAAAAATAAACTGAATATAAACCATAAATAAGAACACGATAAATAAACTGGATATAAAACATAAATAGACAAAAAACAAAAAAGACAAATGCAAAAAATAAACTGAATATAAACTGAATAAAAAAAATACTTATATTCCTCAAATAAACTATCATTAATAGAATAAATAAACTTGAAATAAACTATCATTAATAAAATCAATAAACCTCAAATAAACTATCAATAGACCAACTTATTAATAAAAAATATCAGAGTAAGAGAAATAATGTTCTAAAATAAAAAAAAAAAAATACTTATATTCCTCAAATAAACTATCATTAATAAAATAAATAAACCTGAAATAAACTATCATTAATAAAATAAATAAACCTCAAATAAACCATCAATAAACCAACTTATTAATAAAAAATATCAGAGCAGAGAAATAATGTTCTAAAATAAAAAATACTTATATTCCTCAAATAAATTATCATCAATAAAATAAATAAACCTCAAATAAACTATCAATAAACCAACTTATTAATCAATCAATATCTAAATGCTTTCTTGAACAATCAATATCTAAATGCTTTCTTCAATCCTATCAAGTAGGGGTGTTCACGGTCCGGATTGGTCCGGTTTTAGCCCAAACCGTGACCAAACCAGACCTAACGGTTGATTTTTTTTCTTGTCCATAACCGGACCGGTATTATTTTTTAACCGACCACAATCCGGACCGCATTGGACGGTCCGGTTTGACGGTTAACCGGTTAAATCCAATAGTCAATGATCAATGGAGAATCTGAAAATTCAATACACAATCTTTTTTTTTTTTTATCAAACGATTGTAATTGCATTAACAAACTAATATGTAAGGAATTTATGGGTCGGCAGGGGATAAATAAGAATTAAAAAATATATATATATAAAAACAAAATAAAAAAATAATAACTGTTATTGAGTATAAAAATGAAAATCAATATTCAAGTTTTACTTAATAATAAAATATTAAATTAGTGTAACAACTATTTTAAAGAGGTGGGAACGGTTAAGAAATCAGTTAAATATTTTTTTGCCATGTGTAAAAAGGCGTAGTAGTGTAAACCAAAAGTCTAGTTTTGGCTAAATAATATACTGGTTGATTAATGTAAATAGTTTTTTATATTAAATAAGGGATGTCCTTATTTCCAAGTTCTTGGAGCTCAATATTAAGTTGGCCTAATTGTACCGTCTCCATATATTATTAAGTTGGCTAAATAATATACTGGTTGATTAATGTGTATATATATTTTTTTATAATTTTTTAATATATACCGGTCCGGTCCGGTTAAACCGGCGGTTTGCCGCAGTTAATCCGTTAACCGGACCGGTGATTCCGGATTTTTAAAAAAATTAATCACCGGATTTTTAATGCTTCTTTAATTGACCATTTAACCGATCCGCGGTCCGGATTGACGGTTTTTTCCGGTTAAAACCGGACCGTGAACACCCCTACTATCAAGGTCCCATTTCACCAAACAAAATCACATAGCTCACATTGGCACTTTTGGAAAAATAAATATATATATATATATATATATATATATATATATCATTCGTATACTGTAAATAAACTACTGATATTTCATTACAAAAAGAAGTTCATTGAAATCTTCATTTAATACGCAATGTCTACTTACTCGTATGTGCAATGAGAGAGATAAACATTAGTACAACCAAGAAAATACTAGAATTTCATTCATGATTTTTTCACCATATTATCAAAACATGTGCTGTTATAAAATTATGCGTACAATAAAATAATCCATAAGTAAATCGAACAACACTGATGTAATTGGCCAAAAATAAAGACATGAAAAAATCAATAAATCGACATCGATTGTTTTTTGTACTCTGAAACAGATCTGAATTCAGAGAGTAAACCTTATCGGATACTTGTTTCTGTGCTCTGAGACATGACAATAGTCACATACGTGCGCCGAGACTTGACAATAATCGTCCACATCGCGTCCCTCATGAGCCGCCGTTTTTCCAGATCCACATCGGTTCCTTCATTGTTCATCGTAGGGCATAGTGTCGGACCTACAATCGCAGGAAAACACCCAATAGTCGACTCGCGGCTCCAATCGCCGCCTCATTATATACTGTTGGATGATGAAGGCATGTCGTTTCGTCGCCGGTTGTCGATCCCCAAATTCGAGTCACCGTCGCCGCCATTTCGTCAATTGTTTTCAAGAGGCGAGGTTTGTCTTCGCGAGAATCAAAATTTAAAAGAAGAATTGGATCCTTTTTTTTTTTTTAATTTCTGGCGGTCGTTGATTTTTTTGTGTGATGCCGACGCCGATAAGTTGGAAGGAAGAACAAAAGGAAACATTGAAGATATAAGAGAGAGAGAGAGAGAGAGAGAGAGAGAGAAAGGGAGGGTTATACGCCGATCAATTGGAAGAAAGAAGAAAAGGAAACATTGAAGAGATAAGAGAGAGGGAGGGTTTAATTTGTGGAATATAAAAATATGTTTGTGGAATATAAGGGCTTGATTGTTTATGGAATAATTTACTCAACTTTATTTCATATTCAAAATTTAACTCAACTTTAACTCAACCCCACTATCTTTAATATTATTTATAATTAAATAATACAAATCAATCATTCTTACACATCACATCAACTTTAATTCACTATTCATTCACTCGCACAATTTTAACTACCTATCATTTCCAATCATTTTTAATCATTTATCTCCTACTTTTACATCAAATCAATTTTAATCATTTTATTTTAAATATTATTATAATTTATTCTTAAAATTTCACTAATAACTAATTATACCACCTTTTTCAAAATTAACTATAGTTAACCTAAATAACTCATTTTGAACAAATTATTTCATAGACAATCAAGTCCTAAAAGTTTATAATTTCATCTTACTGGAACAATCGATAAATTAGGAATTAAAAACAATGTGCTTGTATTTACGTCCAGCGACTAATTATCTCTTTATGGCTTATGGGACGGCTGAGATTGATTAGAGCAGATATCCCCCGATTCCATCACCCCTCCGGAAAAATAGTGGCGGGATTAGAGCAGTTATCTCTTTATGACGGGAGTTAGGGTTTAATAGTGGCGGTTCTTGCACAGACACAATACTAGTGACATGATGAATAGACTCTTGGCCAAATTCGTTCCCCTCTCCAAATTATCATCCAAATCGACGTTCTCCTCTTCATCATCTCTTGTCACCAGCAGCACCGCCTCCGGAAAAATACGGCGGAAAAGTAAACAAGTGAAGAATCTACTACTTCTTGCCTCGAGTGATGCGGAGTTATCCGTTCGTTACCATAAACTTTCAAACAAAAAACCTAAGGAACTCCACTTTCCCAATACTGTACGCTCTCGCCATTTTTTCCCTAGTTTTAGCTGCAACGCCTTTTTCTTGGCGCATTCATCTGAATACGCTGTTCTGTGGAATCCAACAACAGACAAGCTCAAGTTTCTTCCTGAATCCTCACTCCATCGCCCTCCTCGGACAAGAAGCACTTCCTTTTCTTATGGTTTTGGGTTCGATCATCACCACTACGACTACAAGGTTATTAGATTTGTCAAGTGTATGTGTATTGACGATAATACTGAAAATAATATTCTAGTTGAGCTGTACTCACTTAAAAGTGATTCCTGGAAAGAAGTCATGTATCCCCATTTCCCTACGGCTCCGGGAAATCATGAATTTCTCTATACTGCTCCGGGAAATAAAGGGGTTCACATAAATGGCATCTTTTATTGGCTTTCCGAGGATGGATTTATCCTGTCCTTTGACTTCACTACTGAGGAGTTCCCTTCCACACCTCTTATTCCCCTGCCCCAAACTTATCTTCTTAATTGCTGCAATAATAACGTCCTTCTTGCCGAGTTTAATGGGCAGCTCGCCGCTATTGTCCACAGTCGTTTGGATTTGAGTTTCGATTCTTTCTTTTTTCATATTTGGGTATGGAATCAAGAATCTTCTTCATGGTCTAGAGTGCTGTCGAAGGTCCCTTGTGTCAGTTGCGTTTCGTATTGTAAAGTGTTGGGCTTCTTCAACAATGTCGAACTATATCTTCAATCCACGGATGGTGAAGTGGTGTGTGTGGATTGTGCAACAGGGAAGATCAAGTTACTTGGTCCCTTTGTTGATACATGGAGAGCTTACCTTTTTCCTTATGTCGAGAGTAGGCAGCCAATCCAAGTGTAATATAGATATATCTTTATTCATGTTATGCTGTCATTTGCTTGCATTCCTTATGTTAGTGCTACATTATGCTCCTTAGTATGTTACTATGGAAGTCAAATTTCTGCAACTCAGACCACCACAAGTATAAATGTGATTCTTCCAGATTTGATTTGTTTAATGTCATTTGGGTTTGACAGCGGAGGCATTATTTTTTTCAAGAGTTATTATTATCAGTTTGCGTAGTCTACATGCACTCTCGTCTATTGCTGCTTGTGCCATGCCATCAATTCGGTTGAAAGTTAGTACATTATGTTGAGTTTTGGATCCGTGCATCATTTGAGGAATCAACGAAAACATTATGATGAACTACCAATTTTAGGCGTCTACAGTGCCGTTGTGGCACCAACCCGTTCTTTCAATTTTGGCCCTAGATGTTCAACACATATTTATTGCCGGGTAGATTATTTGCAGGAACATTATATAAGAGTGTGGGTTGAAGCAGATAATGATACCAACTTTAACTTTTAATTTGTTTTACTTAAATATTTTTCTCTTTCTTTGTGGAACGTTTAATTTCATTTTTTTTTTCTTTTTTTGATTATGTGCCATATTAATCATTTTTTAAATATTTAGTTTGATGTGTTTACGGATGTTGAAAATAAATACCAGCTTTGAATTAGATGAAGTGCCACTATATTATGGTGTGAAATAAACCACCTAAACTGTCATTCCAATCCATTATAAATTATAATCCACTTCCACATTGATTTTTTTTCCCGCTATTTTTCAGTAGTTCAAATAATGTACTTGAAATTATTGCCAATTAAATGACTTTCTTACTAATTGCTGAAGTCTAAGCTTCTATTATTCTAAATTTTGAATTTCTTAAATTCCTATCTCCTCTTATCATATTAATATAATATGATTTTAATTGATTCATTATTTCAATATTTATATTTTGTTTATTTTGAAACATTAATATGAGGAATTTGTGCCATAGGTGAATTGGCTTTATTTTAAAATATATACATTTTAGTATTTTATATGTAATTATATATTATTTAAATTAATTATAGATTATTCATTATAATTCTCGTTTTCTAATTTAAATAGTTTATATTATCTTTTGTTTTTCCGAAACGATAATAAATATACTCATAAATAGATAATGTTCGTACAACGGGGACCCAACATGCCACAATCCATAAGGGATCAGAGGCAGATAGACACCTGCCTAGACAAAAAACACAAGACACACAAACTACCTAAAATACAAACACAAAAGCATGAAAGTGAGCAACAGCCGCAAAGCCCCGTGGAAGCCTGCTGCTCAACACACAGAGATGCACGAAATACAGAGATACCAAACAAGGAAACACAACTAAAAATCATAGAACCAGCCACTGCCGAGGAAAATAAAACAACCAAGAAGAAATAAAACTAGACAGAAACCGAAAGCACTAGAAATGAGAGCCTATGCTTGAGTAAGTGAAGAGCCATACTCCTACCATTCCTTAACTGCAATGCCAACAGTAATGTGCTCTGGTTCCATGGTTTGTTGGAAGACCCAGAGGATTCTAGTTTTCCATAGCTGCCACAAGATGTAGAAAGAGAGCTGAATTCTATCCTCAATTGCCTTCTCCTTTTTTAGAGAACATATATCAGACCACCAGTATTTGAAATTAAGTTCAGAAATGTTGTGGTGATTCCATTGAACAGGAGAAAGCTTCCAGATTGTTTGAGCTCGAGGGCAATGGAAAAAAAGGTGTTCAGTGGTTTCAGGACTTTCACCACAAATCTTGCAGGTGGTATCTAGGGTGAGGCCTCGTTTCTTGAGATTTACAGCAACCGGGAGGACACCAGTATAACATTTCCAAATGAAATGTTTAACTTTGCCTTTGACTTGCAGTTTCCAACTTCTGGTCCTCATCTTCCTCATGGCAGCAGCAGTGGCACTATGCTCAGGTATGTCCAGTTTGAGGGTTTTGCTGTGGATAAGGTGGGCATATGTAGTAGCCACTGAGAAGTTGAGCTTAGCATCAAAGGACCAGACAGGCTTATCAGGGAGGTGCTGTGACAATGTTTTGATTTGGAGAATGGCATCACATTCAGCCTGTGAGAAGGAGCTGTTGAGAAGATCCCTGTTCCATGAGACACCATACTCTGTTATGAGTTCAGATACCCAGGTTAGATTAGGGGAGTTAGGAGATTTTATCAGGATTTTGTGACCAGAGAGTTTGGGAACCCATGGTTGTTCCCAAATTTTTGTTTTTCTGCCATTTCTAATCTGCATCATGTAGCCCTTAAGGAAAGTTTGCTGCACCTTGAGCCAATTCCTCCACAGCCATGAAACATTTTGAATAGGTTTAGCTGCAAAAAAGTTCCCAGAAGGGAAGTACTTGCTCTTAAGCACCTTGCTCATAAGAAGTTCTGGCTTAGTAATCATTCTCCACACTTGTTTCAGAATTAGTGCTTCATTAAAAAGTTGAAGATCATGAAAGTTCAAGCCTCCAGCAGCTTTGGGGAGAGACAGCAATGTCCAAGACTTCCAGTGGATACCAGAATTTGTCTTATTCTGAGAAGTCCACCAGAAATGAGCAAAAATTCTGGCCAGCTCTTTGCACATGCCCACTGGCAGGATAAAGCAGGACATTGTGAAGACATGGAGAGCACTAAGGACAGAGTTGATGAGGATTTCCTTCCATGCTCCAAAGAGGAACTTATTCTTCCAGCTCAACAGTTTGTTCTTGGCAGCTTCCACGACATAATTAAAGGCTTCACCTTTTGATCTCCCAATGCCAAGTGGCAATCCTAAGTACCTTGTTGATTGGTGGAGAGAGATCCATGAAGGGTGTGACAGATGGCCCTTTGGACAGTTTAGGGTGTGTTCTTGCTAAAGAATGCTGATGATTTCAATAAGTTGACTTGTTGACCTGTAAAGCATTTGTATTTCTCCAACATAGCCAGAATATGGTTGGCAGAGTCAATAGAAGCATGGCAAAAGAGCAGTGAATCATCAACAAAGAAAAGGTGGCTGAGGGTGGGGCCTTGCGTTGAGAGTTTCAGCCCTTTGTAAGATCCAGTAGCAATTTCTAGATGAATGAGACAAGATAGACATTCAGTGACTAAGAGGAATAAGTAAGGGGATAAGGGGTCTCTTTGCCTTATTCCTCTAGAAGGTATAACATAGCCAGCAGGTTGCCCATTAAGTTTGAAGGAGAATGATGCAGATTGGATATAAGCCATAACCCATTTGATAAAAATCATATTGAAACCCATTTTTTCCATAATGCATTTGATACTGGCCCATTCAATCCTATCAAAGGCTTTTGACATGTTTAGTTTAAGGGCCATGTGTACCTTTTAGGGCATGTTCTATGCCTACTAAGAAAGTGGAAAACCTCTTGAGCAATGATAACATTATCTAACAACTGTCTGTCAGAGATAAAGGCTGACTGGGTGATATTGATGCAAAAAGGAAGACAGTGTTTCAGCCTATCAGCAAGAATTTCTTAAATGACTTTGTATATAACCTCACATAAGCTAATAGGTCTGTAATCACCCACAGCCATAGGAGCAAGACATTTGGGGATAAGAGTGATAAGGGTGAGGTTCCAATTTTTGAGCAAGTGACTAGATGTAAAAAAGGACAGAACAGCTTTGCACAAGTCAGTTTTGATAGTACTCCAGAAGGATTGAAAGAAAGAGGGTGGCATACCATCCCAGCCAGGTGTTGTGTCAGGGTGCATGTTGAAGAGAGCATTTTTAATTTCTTCTTCAGTGACTGAGGTAATAAGGGGCTCATTGTTCTCTTGAGTGATGAAAGAAGGAACGTGGCTGAGAAGATTTCCATGATCAATAGAGCCTTCTGAGGTGAAAAGATGTTGGTAGTAGTCTGATAGGCAGGCAGTGATGGATTCCCTGGTGTCACAGATAGTTTGGTCTGGTTTGATGAGCCTGGTAATTGTGTTGGGTTTCCTCCTTTGTAGGGTATATGCATGGAAGAACCTTGTGTTTTTGTCACCCTCTTTGAGCCAGAGGACCCTTGATTTCTGCTTCCAAAAGAATTCTTCTGCAAGGTGGGCTGTATCAAGTTGATGTTTGATATTGGTCCACTTGTCCCAGTCTCTGTTTGCTCCATGTGCTCTTAGTTTAGCCAATTCATCAGAGAGCTTTGTGATGGCAGTAGCAGAGTTAGTGTGGAAAGTTCTACTCCATTTGAGGAGTGCTACCCGGGTAGCTTTAATATTCTCAGTAAGTGTGAACATAACAGACCTAGCCATTGGTTGATCCCATGCTTTCTGAATTTCCTCTTTCAGTCCAGGCTTTTTCAGCCATCTTATGTCAAAGTAGAAGGTATTTTTGACATGATTTTGAGGCAGGCCAAGTTGAAGAAGGAGAAGGCTATGGTCAGATGCACACCTGAAGATATTTAGGACTTTGGCTGCAGGATGTTTGGAATGCCAGTTCAGAAATGCTACCATTCTATCCAGCTTTTCCTCTATGAAGCCTTCAGCTGGTCTATTGTTAGCCCAGGTAAAAGGGTAGCCATCCAGTGATATTTCATGACCTCCCAGATCAGCTAGACAAGTCCTGAAACCCCAAAAGCTAATGTCAGGTCTTAGTCTTCCTCCATTCTTCTCTGCCTGACTGAGAATGTCGTTCCAGTCTCCTTCTATCACCCAATTTTGACCCCAATTATCCTTTGCTTGGTTGAGATATTGCCACTGTGATAGTCTAGTGTTTTTGCAGGGACTAAGATAAACAAAAATGAACCAGGATTTTTCAGAGCTGCCTCTAATACTGAATTCCACTTCAATACAAAAAGGGTGGCATATAGTTTGAGAAACATCCACTTCTGAATTCCAGAAAACTAGCAAGCCTCTACTCTTATTTACAGGGTCTGAAACCACCCATCTATCTTCAACACCCAGGTTTCTACAGACAGTATGAATAAATTTTTGGGTTTTTCTAGTTTCACAAAGAAAAGCAAAATTGGGATGGTGGAATCTCCAAGATTC